GGCATATAATAGTAAAGCTGGCAAAAGTCAATGACAAAGGAAAAGTATTAAGGACAGCAAGACAAAAAAATAAAAAAATAAAATAACATACAAAGGAATTCCAGTCAGGCGTTCAGTCAATTTCTTGGCAGAAAATTTACAGGCTAGGAGAGAGTAGAATGATATATTCAAAATTCTGGAAGACAAAAACTTCCAGCCAAGAATACTCTATCCAGCACAAAATATCCTTCAGATATGATGGAGAAATAATAACTATACCAGATAAATAAAAGCTGAGGGAGTTATTGCCACAAGACCCCCACTACAAGAAATGCTCAAGAAGGACCTCACGCCTGAAAAAAAAAGAGAAAGGGGATACAAAGCTTTGAGTAAGGAGGAAAATTGGTAGACAAAATCAGATAAATTGCAGCTCTCTATCAGAATAGGTTAGCAAACACTTAATTATAACATCAAAGATTAAGGGAAGGAAAACATCAAAAATAAATATAACCTCATCACTTTAAACACAAACTCACAAGACAAGGTGGAATAAGTTGGGACAATAATAACTTAGAAGGGGAAGAGGCAAGGGATTGAATCGACTCAGTCTAAGGAAATGAGAAGTCCTCAGATAATGGACTATCTCATCCATGAGATTTTTTTATACAAACCTCAAGGTAACCACTAAACAGATAATCAGAACAGAGTCACATATGATAAATAAAGAGAAAATAAAAGAGTCATCATACAGAATACCAAACTGAATTGGTACTCCAAAACACAAGGGACGAGAAACAAAGGAAATGCAAAAGAACCGGAAAATGAGCAAAAAAAATACCAGCATCAAGCCCTCATATATCATCAATAATCACTCTATATGTAAATGGATTGAATTCTCCAATCAAAAGACACAGAGTGGTGGGATGTATTGAAAAGCAAGACCCAACAATATGCTTCCTCCAGGAAACACATTTCAGGTCTAAAGAAAAACACCGGCTCAGAGTGAAAGGATGGAAGACAATACTCCAAGCTAATGGCAAACAAAAGAGAGCAGGTGTTGCCATACTCATATCAGACAAAGTAGACTTCAAGATAAAACAGACAATGAGAGACAAAGAGGGGCAATATATAATGATAAAAGGGACACTCCACAAAGAAGACATATCAGTTATAAATACATATGCACCCAACACAGGAGTACCAAAGTACCTAAAGCAACTATTAACAAACCTAAAAGGAGATATTAACAAGAACACAGTAATAGTGGGGATCTTAACACCCCACTTACATCAATGGATAAATCATCCAGACAAAAAGTCAATAAGGAAATAGTGGACTTAAAAAACTAGGTGAGACAGACTTAGTAGACATATACAGAGCACACCATCAAAAAACAGCACACTACACATTCTTCTCAAGCATGCATGGAACATTCTCAAGGATAGACCATATGTTCGGAAATAAGGCAAGCCTCAATAAATTTAAGAAGATTGAAATCATAACAAGCATCTTTTCTGACCATAATCCTATGAAACTAGAAATCAACTACATGGAAAAAACTGGGAAAGTGACAAAGATGTGGAGACTAAACAACATGCTACTAACAGCGAGTGGATCATTGAGGAAGTTAAAGGAGAAATCAAAAAATATCTGGAGACAAATGAAAATGAAAATACACCATACCAACTCATATGGCATGCAGCAGTAGTCCTGAGAGGGAAACTCATAGCAATACAGGCCCACCTTAACAAACAAGAAAAAGTCCAAATAAGCAACCTTAAACTACTACTAACAGAATTAGAAAAAGAACAAACAAAGCACAAAGTCAGCAAAAGGAGGGAAATAATAAAAATTAGAGCAGAAATAAATGAAATTGAAGTTAAAAAAAGAAAATAGAAAGGATCAATGAAACAGAGCTGGTTCTTTGAGATGATAAACAAAATTGATAAACTCTTAGCCAGACTCACTAAGAAAAAAAGAGAGAAGGCTCAAATGAGTAAAATTAGAAATGAAAGAGGAGAAATTACAACAGATAACACAGAAATACAAAGGATTATAAGAGAATACTATGAAAAACTATATTCCAACAAATTGGACGATCTAGAAGAAATGGATAAATTCTTAGACTCATACAACCTCCCAAAACTGAATCAAGAAGAAATAGAGAATCTGAATAGACCAATCACAAGTAAAGAGATTGAAACAGTAATCAAAAACCTCCCCAAAAATGAAAGTCCAGGACTGGATGGCTTCTCGGGAGAATTTTACCAAACATTCAAAGAAGATTTAATACCTGTCCTCCTCAAACTATTCCAAAAAATAGAGGAAGATGGAACACTTCCTAATACATTCTCCAAGGCCAACATCACCCTGATACCAGAGCCAGACAAGGATGATACAAAGAAGGAAAATTATAGGCCTATATCGCTGATGATCATAGGTGCAAAAATCTTCAACAAAATGTTGGCACACTGAACACAAGCAATACATTAAAAAGATCATACACCGTGATCAAGTGGGATTTATACCAGGGACACAAGAATGGTTCAACATCTGCAAAATCAATCAATGTGATACACCACATTAACAGAATGAGGAATAAAAACCACATGATCATCTCAATAGATGCAGAGAAGGCATTTGACAAGAGACAGCATCCATTTATGATAAAAAAAACTCTCAATAAAATGGGTATAGAAGGAAAGTACCTCAACATAATGAAGGCCATATATGACAAACCCACAGCCAACATCGTACTCAGTGGGGAAAAACTGAAAGCCATTCCTCTGAGAACAGGAACAAGACAAGGGTGCCCACTCTTGCCACTCTTATTCAACATAGTACTGGAGGTTCTGGCCAGAACAATGAGGCAAGAAAAAGGAATAAAAGGGATCCAAATAGGCAATGAAGAAGTGAAACTCTCTGCAGATCACATGATTTTATACATAGTTTTCCAATGGATTCTTTAGGGTTTTCTATTAGAAATAATCAACAACTACAGTGAAGTTGCAGGGTACAAAATCAACTTACAAAAATCAGTTGCATTTCAATACTCTAATAACAAACTAACAGAAAGAGCACTCAGGAATACAAAATCCCATTTACAATTGCAACAAAAAGAATAAAATATCTAGGAATAAATTTAACCCTAAAGAGGTTAAAGACCTATACAATGAAAACTATAAGACATTATTGAAAGAAATCGATGATGACATAAAGAAATGGAAAGACATCCCATGCACATGGATTGGAAGAATAAACACAGTTAAAATGCCCATACTACTTAAAGCAATCTACAGATTCAGTGCAATCCCAATCAGAATCCCAATGACATTCTTCATGGAAATAGAACAAAGAAAACTGAAATTCGTATGGGGCAACAAAAGACCCCCAATAGCTAAAGCAATCCTGAGAAAAAAGAAACAAAGCTGGAGGCATACAGTCGCTGACTTTAAAATATACTACAAAGCTATAATAATTAAAACAGCATGGTACTGGTACAAAAACAGACCCACACATCCATGGAGCAGAATTGAAAGCCCAGAAATAAAACCAGACATCTACAGACAGCTAATCTTTGACAGAGGAGCTAAGAACGTACAGTGGAGAAACGAAAGTCTCTTCAATAAATGATGTTGGGAAAACTGGCCAGCCACATGCAAAAGAATGAAAGTAGACCATCTTCTTTCACCATACGTGAAAATTAACTCAAAATGGATCAAAGACTTGAAGGTAAGACCTGAAGCTATAAAACTCCTGGGAGAAAATATAGGCAGTACACTCTTTGACATTGGTCATAGAGGGATCTTTTTGAATTCCATGTCTACATGGACAAGGGAAACAAAAAAGAAACAAGTGGAACTTCATCAGATTAAAGAGCTTCTGCAAGGCAAATGAAACCAGGATCAAAATGAATAGACAGCTTGCCAACTGGGAAAAAGTATTTGCAAATTGCACATCTGACAAGGGGTTAATCTTCACAATATATAAAGAACTCACACAACTGAACAACAAAAAAATAACTCGATCATAAAATGGGCAGAGGATATGAACAGACATTTTTTCCAAGGAACATACACAGCTGGCCAATAGGCACATGAAAAGATATGCAGCATCACTAATCATCAGGGAAATGCAAATCAAAACTACAATGAGATACCGCCTGACACCCGTTAGAATGGCTGTAATCACCAAGACAAAAAATCACAAATGTTGGAGAGGATGTGGAGAAAAGGGAATCCTCATATACTGCTGGTGGGAATGCAAACTCGTGCAGCCTCTATGAAAACAGTATGGAGATTCCTCAAAAAATTAAAAATAGAAATACCTTATGATCCAGCTATCCCACTACTGGCTGTTTTTCCAGAGATCCTGAAATCAACAACCCAGAGGCTTATGTACCCCTATGTTCATCGCAGCATTATTCACGATAGCCAAGAAGTGGAAGCAACCCAAGTGTCCCTCAACTGATGAATGGGTAAAGAAGATGTGGTGTATATATATACAATGGAATACTACTCAGCCATAAAAAAAGACAAAATCATCCCATTTGCAACAACGTGGATGGACCTGGAGGGTATTATGTTAAATGAAATAAGCCCGACAGAGAAAGACAAACACCACATGATTTCACTCATGTAGAAGATTAACACACGGACAGAGAGAACAGTTTGGTGGTTACCAAGGGGATAAGGGGTAGGAGGTGGGCACAAGGGGTGAAGGGTTGCATTTTTATGGTAACTGACAAACAATAATGTGCAATTAAAATTTCACAATGTTATAAACTATTATGACACCAATAAAAAGTATATTGTTAAAATTAGTTTTACTGGTTTCTTTTTTTTTAGTGTGCTTACTAGAACATTAAAAATTTCCTATGTGGCTCACATTCTATCTCTGTTGGACAGTCCTGGTTTAGAAGGAAGAGGGGCTTGCTGCCTTTTCCTGTACTATAAATTTTTCTAGAGAAAACTTTGCGAGGAGAATAGTTACTAACTTTTTTTTTTGTTTGCGGAGCACAGACAACAATAATTTGGGACGCCCACACAGGAGAAGCCAAACAACAATTTCCATTTCATTCTGGTGAGTTTGTGTTTTTTTGTAATTCAAAAATAATAATTCAGAGTCTTACGAAATGTCCATTCATGTAATCGTGAATGTTTGCAGGAAGAAGTCCATGGAATTTAGCTGGTAGGAGGGAAACCCATTTCATGGCAAGTACTGCTCTTAAGATTTGTAAGATACAGATGCCCTCAACACCCACCTGCTCAAAAGTTTAATAACACGACGGTGAACCCACCACAGAACCAGCGTGGGCTCCTTTCTCTGGCTGTCTCTTCAAGAGGGGTCTTGCATTGAGTATCCCTGAGACCATGCTCAGATTTGGCGATTTGCTGCGAGGACTCAGAGAACTCAGCATATGGATGTCCTCACAGCTGAGACTGATTGCAGCAAAAGGATACAAAGGGAGATTTTTGAGCACGGGGCGATATCTAGAGCTCTCAAGGGTCCTCTCCCAGTGGAGTCACACAGGACACGCTGAATTTCCCAGAAACAAGTGGATTCCCACACATGTGAAGGGTCCCCTACCAGGGAAACCCATCAGAGACTCAGTGCCCAGGGTTTTCCATTTGAGACTGATGTCGTAGGCACCCTCTGCCTGGCATGTACCAAAATTCCAGACTCCCAGAGCGAACGCGGGGTTTGGCATGACCCACATTGTTTGCACAAACACCATTCTTATCAGTTAGGGAATGGTGGGAACCCTCCAGACGTCCAAATTCCCAGATGCGTGCAAAGTGTCCATGGTGAGTCTTTGCTGCGTGAAACTGTGGCCACTGCTTGAGACCTAGCCACGTCCCTTTATGTGTTGGGGCCATACCGGACCACATGGGAAGCCAGGGTATAGAGATTCGGTTTTCCAGATTCCCACCTGTTAGTTCACGTTCTGTGTAACTCAGTCCTGTTGTTAGATGTGGCCTCTTAACTTAAGACACAGACAGATGACCACCCCCTGAATTAATAGACTATCAGAAGAAACTGGCTTAAAGTTGACAGAAGTTCCAATTTGGAGGAATCACTAAATGTATGGGGTGAACGTTTACTATTATATCAGATGTCCCTGAGGTGTTTTTCAGGAAGGGATCAGCGTGTCTTTCCTGATGGCAAGTTTGGGGTACCTGGTGATGGTCTGAATGGAAGGGCTGACCCCGAGGACTGCCCGAGATGGCACAGCCCATCCTGGTGCCCAGGGAGGGCTCCAAGCAGGGACATGGGTCCTCCAGGGATCAGACTATGAGTCAGAGGTCCCGATGAGGTAGGACTGTGTCAAATGCATAGACACCAAGGTCTCTTATTCTGCTTGGTATCTTAGCAGTGACTTCTCTGATGGAGGCAGCTCACACATCGAGGGAGACCCAGGAGGTTGCAGTGTACACCCCGGTGCTTTGAAGAGGTGGTGCATCTCTTCCAGGGCTGTCCTCAAAGCTTGGGGTCCACACCAGATACACCTCTTGGGGCTGCCAGGGAATTTTGTTATTGGTGTTGCTTTAATCTTACACCATGGATGATGTGGAAGTTGCTGAACATATTACAGAATGTATTTCTCCACCAGGAAATGGGCACAGTTCCAAATGCACGCTGCTTGGGATCCCAACCAGTGTGTGTCTGTGTGTGTGTCTGTGTGCGTGTGTGTCAGAGTATACATAATATTTTCCATTAGTCAATACTACCACACACTGACATCGTGTGCAACCGTCACCACTATCTGGTTTCAGAACATTTCTGTCACCCCATAAGGAGACCCCTTACCCATTAAGAAGTCACCCTCCATTCCCCTTTTCCTCAGTCCCTGGCAACCCAATCCACATGTTTTGATGTGTGTGTCATCTCCATGCCGGGTGTCAGTGCTCTAGACTGTGCACATCAAAGAAAGCAGCAAGTGAGAACATCCTTGCTAGTGGATTTCCATCGTGTTTGACATAAGCGCCATAACCATCCCTACATTTGCTACCCACGATGTAGACCCATATCCCATCCCTGGGTAGTTCCAGGTGTTATCTGCTCTTTTTTCTGTGTCAAGCAGTGGGCTAGAGACTGTACAAGATGGAGGAAAAGGCAGGGTGCTCCTTTTCAAGGTGAAATGCAGATAGCAAGAGCCGTAAGGAGTGCCTTTCCTTAGCGTTTGAAGCCTCCTCAATTGATAGATTGATCTGGGAAATTATCTTGTCCCGTTAGGTTTTCCCCGTGAAGGCCTGGTGGGGGGCGCCCTCAGTCCCCATCAGCAGGAAGCATTAGCTCAGAGCCTGACTGTGGAGTACCACTCAGCAGTGGGAAGGAACGAACTACTGAGAAGCTATTGGCAGCTTGGGTAGATCTCAAGAGCATTCTGCTGAGTCAAAAAAAACAGTCTCCAAATGTCATTTATATAACATTCTTGAGATGACGAAATTTTAGAAATGGAACCAGAGTTGAGGGGTGGTGCGGGGAGGGAGTTATGTGATGATCAAGTGGCATGAGGGAGATCTCTGTGGTTATGGAACGGCTCTGGATCTTGACCACAGTGGTGGATATGCAGATCTGCCCGTGTAATGAAGTGGCATAGCACTGGGCACACGTTGTACCAGTGTCAGATTCCTGGTCTTGATATTGTACTATAGGGCCATAGAATACAATCGTGAGGAGAGCCTGGGTGAAGGGTACACAAGACCTCTCTCTAATATCTTTGCAGCTTCCTGTGAACTATGAGTATTTCAAAATTAAAAGTTTTTTTTAAAAAAATGGAAAGAGAAGCCTGGCTATGCCTGGAATGGTGCTGGCTGCTGGACCTCACTGGCCCACGTGTGGGCTGGGAGGGCACCCAGACCCCCAGAATAGCTTAGCCCTGTTACTGTCGCTCATCCACGCTGAATGGTGAGATCATATGGGGGGCTGCAAAGGTCCTGGTGGGGGGCTGCGAGGGTCCTGGCGGCAGGGGCTGACTCAGAGTGGGTCTAACTGGCTGAGTACAGAGGGCCCCTTCTTTGGATGGCAAGAGTCAGTAGATGTTAATTTTTATGGCCAGGTGCTGGTCACCATCCCCTGAATGGCCCACCCAGATTGTTACATTTCCAGATGTGCTAATTGCACGTCTGGAATGCAGTGGCTGGCCCAGGAATTCCAGATTTTGCTTGTGCAGTGTTGTAAACAAGAGCAGCTGTGGGCTTTGCTCTCTGGCTCACAGGATCATCATTCTGACCAAGCAGATCGGTTCCTTCATTCTGCTGGGCACATGTGGGAAATGTGCCAGGAACCATGGGGCTGTCATGAAGCACACTGCTGGGGATATAACAAAAAGAGATCCCCTAGGCAGTTCAAAAAACCAGTGCTGACTCTCAGCCAAATCCTGCCACCTTAACCTCCACCTGGGGCTGGAGCTGGATGTGGAAGCTAGTGGGATCCATCCCTGCGGTTATGGAAGGTAGACACGTGGAGGGGTGCACCTCTGTTTAAAGACTGAGGAAAGGAAGGGGTAATCTAATTGTTAGCATGTCCTGAGTCAGCTGGATTCTTTTCCCAATTCAGTGCTGACTTGCCTTTAAGAAACACACATGAGACAACGTTATGTATTGATCAGTTGGTGAAAACGTTGTGACCAGAGGCTTGCAGGAACCAAAACCTCTATTTCCTGTAGAAGCAAGGAAGTGTCAGGAGAGAACAAAGATGCTGAGTAGTCTAATGGGGAGGTCAGGAGAAAGGGGAGAGCACTGTGTGGGCAGTCACCATCCCCAAAACCGTCAACAGAGCTTGCGGAGCCACCTGGACCTGAGAGAGGCCCAAGAGCCAGAGAGGGTGTTCATCACAAGTCCTGAGCCATAAGCCCAGTGGTGTTCCCAAAGGGGTTCTTGTCAGCTCTTAAGTACCCTCCACTTGGTGGGATGCATTAATGTGTTGTGGGAGATGTTTTAAAGTGAGTTATCTTGAACTAGGAGAAGAAATCTTCCTCTCCTTTTCTCTCCTCCCTATCTAAAACAAATCAAATCAGCCCACCACAGTGATATTCCTGGAGGCTTCAAGGTGAAGGAGCAGGCAGCAGCTACTTCTCACCTACCTTTTCTCACCTGTGCCAGGGGAGCAACGAGAGACTGCATGCCACAGGGTGCATGAAGTGTCATGGGGTCTCTCTCCAGAGTGTCTGGTCATCCCTTCAAATGTGGAAGGAGAAATCTTTAGAGTCTATGAGGGAAAGAGACTGTGTTCACACTGGGAATATTTCTTGCTTATCGTGTTACTTTGTAAGGCTTCTTGACTATGCTTTTAATTGTTCTAAATCACCTGAGCTTTGTGCACAACCAGTAAATGCAAATGTCCTCCCTCTCTCCCTGCTCCACAGCCCCTGCTCTTGATGTAGACTGGCAGAACAACACTACCTTTGCCTCCTGTAGCACAGACATGTGCATTCATGTTTGCAGACTCGGCTGTGACCGCCCAGTCAAAACTTTCCAAGGACACACAGTGAGTGCCAATTCTGATTATGGGACTTGAGTTCATGAGAATATGCTGGGAGGTGAGAGCCATCTCCTCTATGCCTAGGAGTAAGAGATACTGTGACTGCAGGCCAGTTCCTCTGCAGCCCTTTGCCACTTGACTTGTTGTAGCTATCTCAAGTGGTTGGATTAGCCCAGTTATGAGCAGGCAGCAGAAAAACTGACCCTGAGATGATCCAGATGTCAGATTTTGCAGCAAAGACTTTAAAGTAGCTATTATAAAAATGCACGAGGACATAAAGGAAAGGATGCTCGTAATGAGTGAATAGATTGGGAATGTTGGCAAAAAAAGGAAAACTATGTTCTTAAAAAGCATTCAAATGAAAATCTGAAAACTGAGAGGTGTAATATCTGAAATGAAAATTTTAATGAGTGGGTTTAACAGCAGATGGGAGACTGCAGAAATAAGGTTAGTGAACCTGAAGAGAGATCATAGAAATTTGCCAGTTTGAAGAACTGATAAGAGATTGAACAAATGAATAGAGGCTTAATGACCTATGGGACATTATGAAGCACTCTAGCATACGTGTATAATGGAGAGAAGAAAAAAGTTAATGGGACAGAAAAATTATTTGAAGCAATAATAGCCAAAATTTCCCAAATTTGGTGGAAAATGTCAACATTCAATCTGGGAAGCTCAGATGCCAGCTGACTTCTCATTGAATTCCTTGGTGTGGCACATGAGGCTTTTCACAGCCTTTCCCCAGCAGATTTCTCTAGTATCCAAACCCCACTATCCCTCAGCCCTCCTGGAAGACCTCCTGGGTTTGAACCTCTCACACCTGCATGCTCCCCTTCGACTCTCTCACAACATCCCTTGCCACTAATTTAACCAGCATAAATTCCATTGTCCTCGGCATTTGCCTGTTTCCTTAGTACCCACCTTTTCCAGCTTCTTCTCCACAGGTCCCTGCTTCCGAAAGAAGGTGCTTTCAGAGCACAGGGATCCGTTGTCCTGTTAACATCTCATTGTGGCTCTAAACTGACCCTTCTCTTTATTTTTATGGTCTGAACTTGTTTTTCCTCTAACTCTAGACTATTCCCAAGCTTTTAATAGGGCTGCTCGTAAGGTCTTCGTGACTGCCAGTCATCCCACCACATGAGTCTCTCGGCAGCTCATCCTTCAGCACAAGATATGAGCTTAATGCAGTGGAGTCTCTTTCTTCCGAAGACCTATGAGCCGTTTCTAGGTGCTTCCTGGAACTTGGCTTGGGCTGCAGAAGGAGGGAGGGGAAAGTACACTCTCCGGAAGGAGTTGGTTCCACCCTGGAGGATTAAAGGTGGTTCAGCTGGGGACAGTCAGTGGGGACCAGCTCCGCATTCCCAGGCCCTGAGAGATCCGCCCATGGGTTCTCCTCTCAACAGTTGCAGTCAGAGCCACCCAAGCTGCCCTTGTCCTGGCTGAGCCTGTCCCTAGGTCAGCACCTCTCATGAGACACCAGCTTCTTGTGGTGTCCTCCTCGACCTGCTTACTCATGTCCATGTCTGTGTGCGCACGCACGCACATGCACGCCACACACCCCTCTCCGGTCCGACCCCTTCATCCTCCCGACTTGCCTAGTGGCCTGCTCCTTGGACCCCAAGCTTCTTTCCTCCCTTTTTTCTGGGCCATTCACCATTGGTACCACATGGAACACAGATGTGGCCTTGTCACTTTCCCACTTCACACCCTTCAGAACTCAGTGTCTTTAGCAAGTAGCATGACCATAAAATGTATTATCCAAACCAGAGCACTTAGGATTGGGAAATTGATTATGAGTGTGAAATTAGTGAATTGTTAGGCTGGGACAGCAGGCAGGAGTGGGACTGTCCTGGGCACATGGGGCCCTCAGTCACCCTACTAGAAAGCCCAGGACCCGTCTCCTTGCTCCTGCCGCATCTCCTCAGCTCACCACGCCCAGCACGCACCACTCATGTCCAGACGTTGCCGCAGGTGGCTCCTTAATAACCGTGGGGCCCCTCCTCCCTTGCCCGTAGGTGCCTTTGCCTTCATCCTCCAGGATTTAGCCTCTTGTACACCGACACTTTTTTTCTTTACGCCTTCCTCCCCTTCCCCCTCCACGCAGCACCAACAGAGAAGTGTCTTGCACGGATTTAGACAGACAGAGTAGCGGTTGTATTAAAAGTGCGTAGGAAAATGATTTTCAAAGGCAGTTTTAAAATAGCTGTGGTCTTGTCGGTTTTATGTGCCGCGCTTATTACATGTAAATTTGTTTGGCTTCCTTCCTAGCTGTGATTTTTTTTTCTTAGAGAAATGTGGATGAGGGTGGCTGGTTGTGTATGGTATATGACTGTGCTTTTATATAAATGAGAAAGGCAGAGTAAGAAAAAGAGGAAATTATATGGGTTCTGGGGTTGTGGTCTTTAATATCCATGGTAAAATGCAAAAAAAAAAAAAAAAAAAAAAGGCTCTTTGCTGTGATGACGAAGTACTCCTGCCCCCTGCTGGAAGGTTGTGGTACCTACTCGTAGGCCTTTATTTCTTTTTAAAACCTTTTGCTCTCTTTCAGAACGAGGTCAATGCCATCAAATGGGATCCTTCTGGAATGCTGCTAGCATCCTGCTCTGATGATATGACATTAAAGGTAAATTTGTCTGAAAGGGCAGCCTCTGATCCTAGACAACCCCACGTACTCCATGCAGGTCTTACAGTCACTGCTCCTCTGGCCAATTATCTTGTTATGAGCACCTTCCTGCCTCTGTCACTTCTCCCCATTGCTAACTCGATGATTCGCTCTCATCCCATTAACTCCTGTTTATCAAAAATTCCTGCCGAGAATTCTTCCCTTCCCCATGGCCTCTCTCACAGGCGCCCCCTAGCATTTTGCCCGTCCTTCTGCCTGCCAGTTTGCCCGCTACACACCGCATGGGTGGTGAGCTTCCCAAGGGCCAGAAACCTAATGAACCCTCATGGAATAAATGGTGTTGAACCATTTCCGGCTGGAGAAATGGGGTTTGCTCACATTGTTCCCGATGTGTTTTCTAGATCTGGAGTATGAAGCAGGATACGTGTGTCCATGACCTTCAGGCTCACAGCAAAGAGATATACACCATAAAATGGAGTCCCACTGGGCCAGCTACCAGCAACCCCAACTCCAACATCATGCTAGCAAGGTAAAGAGAGGGCGGCCCACAGCCCAGGCTCGGTTACTGAGAGTAGCCTTGCTCCCTGTGGCTGAGCTCGCAACATAGCCAGTAAAAGTTATTCGTATCCAAAGAGAACAGAAAACTTGGCTAAGGGGTGTTGCAAATTTGTTTACACCCTTCCAAACTAAATGAAGCAATAGCTCACTTGGAAGGGACCCACAAGATATAAATACCATGTGACACCTGACTTGAGGTAAGGAAGGTTTTAGCCACAAGGCTGGTAGGAGGGATTGGGTATATGTCCAGGCTTCCAGCATTTTGCTTTGGTGAAGGTTTTTATTATGACAGAGAAAGGAAACAGTTCTGCTCGGACCTTTGGGCTTGATTGATATGGTTCAACTCAGCTGCAGGTGGCGAGACTTTTGAGTGGTGACAAAGGGTCCCCGGCCCCAGCCAGGTCTGACCAAACCATTTCTAGAGTGCAGACACTCCGACACCAGCATTGGAAGGAGTGCAGTGGGCTCTCAGTCAAACACCAGAATTGGGAAGAGTGGTTAGAAGTGACCACGGTGGCCTCCCCAAACCACATCACTTTAGGCTGCAGAATTTCAACAGAATGGGCTTGTCCCAACGCTTCTCAGACCCCACTCAGGATCTAACGTCCCGCCCTTGATACTGTGTTTTAATAAGAACATTAGAAGAACGAGCTAGAGGGCCGGCCCCGTGGCTTAGCGGTTAAGTGCGCGCACTCCGCTGCTGGCGGCCCGGGTTCGGATCGCGGGCGCGCACCGACGCACCGCTTCTCCGGCCATGCTGAGGCCGCGTCCCACATACAGCAACTAGAAGGATGTGCGGCTATGACATACAACCATCTACTGGGGCTTTGGGGGAAAAATAAATAAATAAAATTATAAAAAAAAAAGAAAAAGAACGAGCAAGAGAGATTCTGAGAATGAATGCTGGGATACTCAGGGGTCTGGAAACTGTGATCCAAAGAAACAGGGGTGTGTTTTTTGAAATACTTGGGGGGGATGTTTCACTACCAGGAAGCACAGTGGGTTTATTCCATACCGTTGCAGAGAATGGGATTGTGGGGAGAAGTGATGGGTGGCAAAGTTCGCTGTAGATCAGGAAGCACCCTCCACCTCTGCAGTGTAGCAGAGTGGCAGGGGGGTGAGGGGGCTCGCCAAGCAGCAAGCACTCTTGTTGCTAAAAGTGCTCAACCCAAGGCAGTCTCTTAGAAAACACCAGAAAGAATCCACGCATCAACTGAGAGTCCAAACCAGAAAAACACAAAAGCCATAATTCTCTTATTTCAAGTCATTGACCTAAAATCCACGTAAATGACGATGATACAGAACACACTGTAATCATTTTTTTGATGATTTGGAAGGTGCTTTTGTATCACATATACCCATGATGAGCATAAATTATCCTTTAGTCAACAAGTACAAAAGGGACCTACCAGTGCCTAATGAGTCCCTGCAGAGAGAAAGAATGCCAGACAACAGCTTTGTCAGATGTACTATTCTTTTAAATTTGAAAATAACTAAAATTTGCAGCTCTCGGCAGTATGATTGCCTATTTGGAGGCAATTGTATTTTAATCCCCGTTGGATTAAAAATGTTTATTCACTCAATTTGCAATTTTTTCAGATTTGGCTATCAGCATTATCTTAGTTGGTAATGATAGATGTTGTGTTTTAAATTATAGGAGCATTTTAGAAAACGTGGTAAATATTCTATAAAAGTATTTATCATGCGTATCTGTAGAAAATGCAGATGTCAATTTGTTTCCCTCATAACAGCACCCAAAAAAAAAACAGAAAAGAAAGGAGAGATTTGTTTTATAACCATGGCTTTATTTTCAGTACAACTGAGTCACATTTTAGAAGAAAAAAAGCCTACCGTTTATTGTGTCTCAAAACGTAAAAGCTAGGAAGGAAAAATAACTCACGATACCTGTGAAACATCTTAGAGAAATAGGAAGAAACGCACGTGTTTCTGTGGTGTTTTCTCTCCCGTCTGTGCAGTGCTTCGTTTGACTCGACGGTGCGACTCTGGGATGTCGAGCGTGGCGTCTGCATCCACACGCTGACCAAGCATCAGGAACCTGTCTATAGCGTAGCTTTTAGCCCTGACGGGAAGTATCTGGCCAGTGGCTCCTTTGACAAGTGCGTGCATATCTGGAATACTCAGGTAATGCCCCGATTCCTGTGGCCGAATCCTTTCTGAAAGTAACACCCGGAGAGTCATGTTTTCGGTGACCCAGCCTCAGGACGGCGACTGGGGAATTTGTGCGCAGGAATGAGTTGCCTCGGACGGAGCCTTGAAGCAAACCCCGACTCCCCAGGCAGCCCCCAGGCTGAATGCCATCTGCCCTGTGCTCCATATGGGCTGTGGGGTCTTCCCCCTCAGGGCCGCCCACCATCTTCTGTTACTTTTTCTGACTCCCTGGCGTGAAACCTTCTTCTTGCCTCATCCTTTTCCTGGGCACGAACAGTTATCTCTGAAAAGTGAGGCCCAGTCATCGTCTCACCAGAGATGCTGCCCTCTGGGTACTAAGTTGGGGTGAGAGGTGTCCTTCCATCTGAGCTTTCCGAGGGGCCAGCCAATGGGGACAAGGCCAGCCGTGACCTCCTCTGCTCCACACCAACTCCTGTAGCTTCTCCATGGAGCAAATGAGGGAGTACGAAGGAATATTTGTTCGCTGTTATCATGCCATTTTGGTTTTTCAAATGGAGATATTTTATGTTTGGGTAGCTAAGGTATGTCAGTATGGGGTGTCCTGTTACCGGGACTAAAAGGAGACAGTATTTGACTAAATGTAGCCACTGGGGGTATCTCTGGCCACGCCTGAGGATGTGAGAATTCTGAATATATAGAGAACTAATATGTATCAAGTGTTCTATTGGGCAGTCAGCTCTTGGTCCTCCTGCTGATGGAAGACAGAAATGGTAGCATGGCAGGAGTCATTGCAAATGACCAATGATCTATTTTGTTTGATCTCAGGATGGATTAAATGGCCTTCCCTCTCCCCTCGTAATCTATCCACCTTCCTGATTCCGTTTGGCTTGGTTGACTTTCAGATGGATTTGCATTCTCAAGTCCATGGCCCCTTGTGGCAGGGGGAAGTGGTAGATGAGCCAAGGTAACTGGCATAGGGCAGGAGGTCCACTGAGACCCCAGGCTTCCCAGGGACTGCCTCACATGAACCACATTCTCTCAGGGAGGGAAAGGTGATAATGGACCCTACATGGAACCAGCCTCACAGCCCTAGATGGGCCACCCGGAAAACATGCATCCCGGGATTAACGTGCAAGAGTCTCTATTCATGAAATGCCTACTAGAAATAGTGATGGATGGATTTGTAGAATGACGTCATTGAAGAATGACATCATCGGTTAGGACTGCCTACCGTCAAAAACTCATCAAATTAGTTCACCCTTTTTTATAAATCACAGAACTCTTTGAGACATTTTAAAGCTAACTCATCCTCAGTGAAAGGGATGCCTTCTCTAAATATAAAAAAATATATAATATTGTTGACTTGCTCCTCCCCTAGTTCCCCTCTCATAGAGATGGCTGCCTGAGTCGTTGTCCCGTGTCCCTGTTCCCTCCCCCCCCCTCCCGCCACTAGTCACTGGCTGGAATGGCCTGTGGGAGGGTGACCTCAGCCGAAATGTAGAGGTGGATTCTGGGGGCAGCCGTAGGTCCGATCTGTTCCCATTGTAGGAAATCTGAGGGACGTGTTTCTACAGCCACCAGTGCTTACTGAAAATTCGTTTAACTTCTTTGCTTGTGAAAATTTTTGCGATAACGTACGGGGTGGAGGGGCGAGGAGGAGTGCCCACCCTACCACGTCCGTGTGCTAAGTGCCCCCTGCATCGTGAGTGACAATTGCTTTGCTTTGCAGAGTGGAAGTCTCGTCCACAGCTACCGAGGCACTGGCGGCATCTTTGAGGTGTGCTGGAACGCTCGAGGAGACAAAGTGGGCGCCAGTGCGTCCGACGGCTCTGTAAGTAGCACCTGTGGTTTGCTGGGGAGGGGAGGGCGCGAGGGCGGAGAGATGACAAGCCGGGCAGCCAACACTTGCGTGCGCTTCTGGAGTGTGATGGGTGCTTGTCTTCGAGGGCCACCGCAGGCACTCAGCAAATGTGTATTGGGTGAAGGAAACTGCTGGGCTGGATCCCGTTGGGTTGGTACCACATCTGAGAATGGCCATCTCTTCCTCTCTTCCAGAATGTCATTCCAGCCGACATTGTCTCAGTGAGATTGGTGGTTCTCAACTGGGGTGACTGTGCCCCCTTGAGGACGTTAGGCATGTCTGGAGGCATTTTTGGTTGTCACTGTTTTGGGGGGGTGGGGGTGCTACTGGCATCTAGTGCTGCGAAACCTCCTACAGTGCACAAAATAGCCTCACAAAAGAAGTCTCCAGCCCCGAAAGTCACTGATCCCAGGCTGAGAAACTTGTTCCTGTCTTAGCTCCGTGATTGTGCCCCCAGCCTGGGCCCTCTGGTGATGAAGGCACAACCTTTCATTCCACAGGTCTCCTGGGTTTCAGTGGCCCTATTCTGATCACATGCGGTGTCTAGCTTCTCGAATGCCCCTGAACTTAAGATTGCCCTGAGCTCTAAGGCAGGGGGCAATGGGCTGGCTGGCCGAGTGTCAGCATGGCCCCTAAATGTTCTCAAAGACTTGAGTTGTCTTCTGCCCTGCCACACGGGCGTCTGGTCCGTGACACCTGCTGGTGGCCACTGCCACCCCATTAGTTCCTAGCATTGCCCTTGACTTGGCTTTTCCCCTCTGTGCTGTTTGCTTGGAGTTGGTTGGTCAGATGCTCTCACACTAGCCTGTTATCAGAGCTTCTCTGAACCTTCGTGACTATGTGCCAATAAAACTTTATTTATAAAAAGTGAGTGGTGGGCTGGGTTTGGTCCATGGGCCACAGAGGTGGCCAACCTCTGCTCTAAAGACATCTTGGTGCTGTCTCTCAAGATAACAGCGCTTTCTCTTTCCTTCCAGGTGTGTGTTTTAGATCTGCGAAAGTAAACACAAAATATTATAGAGAAAAGAAAAGAGTTCTAACGGACCAGCAGTGAATGTGTGGGGTTACAGCCCTCTTGAGACACAATCCTATCAGCTCTGAAACTGTACAAACTTGACTTGCGTTAGAGTGTACTTGGAAACCAACTCATCCCTGGCCACAGGAGTCTATATTTTTTCGTAATCTTCATCAAGAAGTTTAAAACAAAAACATAACACACAGTCAAATCGAAGGGGGAAAGAATGGTTTCCACCTGGAACATTCAACCTGGGAAGCACAAAGCCACCAGCTAGACAGTGCACAGTTTGGTTTCCATCTAGAACAGGCTCTGATGGCTAAGAGGAAAAAAAAAAAATAGCTGTGCCAAAAAAAGAAAAAAGAGAAAAATGCTGTGATAAACCAAAAGGAGGGGGGAAAAAAACCCCAGGGGTTTTTTCCCCTGACAATTTGGACACTACAGTTGCTCTCGCAAAGGATGTTCAAAGACCAGTTTGTACTGATGAAATGTGCAACTTTGTAATCCAACACTTTGTATTTTCTAGAATCTTCTTTGTCCAGTGGTTTTTCTATTGGCTGGAATCCTGTCGTCTGGGGGCCTTCCATCTGAGATGGAAACTGTGTTTGGCTTGTTGCTTCTTTCCTGTTGTTTCCTGCCCCTCCCCCTCTTTCCTTTGTTCCGTGTGGTCTTGGTTTGCAGTCCACCCTCAGCAGATGCAGCCTCGTGGACGCCACGAAAAAATCTTTTGACAGACAGCTTTCTCGCCCCCCTCACCTCCCTCCTGCCCCCACCCCGTACCCACCCCCACCCCCGCTCACGCTCTCTCTGTCCTTCTCTCATAGTTACTTCAGATCTTAAGTGTCAAGGGCACTTTTGGCGCATAAGTGCTTTATGTAAGAAGGCAGGGCAAGGGGGACTTTTTACAGAAGAAAAAAAATGACTTATAAGAGAAAGAGCCCGGAGTATTTTTGGAAAAAAAAATATTTTTATGTTAAAACAATTTTAAAATCCGAAAATGGCCATCAGACATAGAGAGCTTTGTGTGATTCATATTTTAAATAAATTTTAGGAAGACACAGGCAGGGTCTGAGGTAGCTTGTCCCTTTCCCTTCAGCTTCATGAAAGGCACTTGGAACTCTGGGTGGAAAAGAGTCAGTCCTCTGGATGGGCAGAGGGATAGTTCTGCGGCCAGAGAGGAGAGGCCTGCTCTGTGGCTCGAAGAAGAGCTGGGCGTCCTCCGAGTCCCCTTCACCTTAGCAGCCCGTAGGAGAGAAATGAAGAACAGGGCCCTCTGGCCCCAAGAAGCCTTCCCCAAACGAGGCGGTATTGAAGAAGCCATCAGAACCGACAACTCGGCTCCATGTCGCCTATTAGCGACATCTTTTCGCAGCAGTGTAATAACTCCCGATGGCTGGTGTACCAAGAGCAGGTAGGCAGGTCCCTGCAGGGCTGACATCGAGGGCTCCAGGGTCTCACTTGCTCTGTTAATGACAAGAATGAACGGGGAAGGAAGATTTTCCAGTCTTGAAGGTGAATTCTATAGGTAGAATGTCACTACTGATTTCTGCCATCTTCATCATTTCCTTCTCTCGCAAGAGACTAGGAGGAAGATTTTCTTTTTTTTAATAACAAATCTTTTTACTGTTTTTAAAAAATTAAACCTGGCTTTGTGTTCCTAGAAGAGTTTTCCTTCCTTGGATCAGGTGACCTTTGTCCTCTTATCATAACCCGACACTGACCTATTTTTTAAATTAGCCCCAGCGGAAAGAACTGAAGGGATAGGGCGTCTTCTCTGGTCCATCTTCCTGCTGGTGCAGGAAGGGATGGGGAAGTTGGCCAGGACTGGGGGTGGCGCGCAGCGGGCAGGTTTCAGCCAGGTGTGTGTTCCAGCAACGAGACAGGATGTTATTCAGAGGGTGGCGCCCATTTGTGGAGCCAAAAATCAACTGTCAGGGCCGGGCGAGGGCCTCCTACAGAACTTGGAGTGTGCTGGGACCAGCTCGAGAAGCCAGGCTGCGTTTCATCACTCTCACATCACGAGTTGGCCTCCATGTGGATATGAGAATTAGTCCAGCCCTAGCTGTGGAAGACCAAAGAGTGCTCTGTTGGCTTGTGCGTAGTTGATTGGGCTCCTTTACCTAAACGCTTAGCAGAGGTCAAAGTTCAATGGAGTCACCCATCTTTGAACATAGCAGACGCCCCCAGGTATGTTGATAATTTCCTGCCCCAAGAAATCATTAGGTTCGGGATGTGGTTTGTGGTGGTCCAGATGAATACCATCTTGACCCCTCCCCAAATAAAAACGTATTCATCTCTACAGAGCCTCAGCTGTCGAGGGTCAGCCTGTCGGCTTGTGTGTGACAGGCCAAACACTGCTGTGGGGTGGCCATGGTGGGACCTCCTGTAAGGGGCTCACTAGACAATCCTCACATGAAGGTTGTAGTCAGGGTCTCGCTTCACTGTTGGCATTAGCCTCTTGACAGATCTGAACCACTGGGGAATTGTTAGGTGGGAGGCGAGGGTGGTGAGGCGTGGACCACACGGGCTCCGTCCCTGTGCACAGAGAAGTGCATCTGACAGTGACGAAGGCAGACTGCATCCCTGGCTTCCTGAGCAGCCATGGGAGAGGAGCTTCCCTCGGGCCGCAAGGGGGACCAAGCACGAGAACGTAGCCAGCGCCCCTCAAGTCCATCCCCAACAGAATGACAGCTATTTGTCAGAACCCCGTTTACATGCCAGCGTCCACCCTGCTGGAAAGTCAGGAGATTCATCTTTGTCATCGAGGGGTGGCCCATAGGTCGTGTTAGTGTCTCACGTTGTTTACAGCTCTTAAAAATTGTGAGTAAAGCTCAAGTCTTAGTGACCAAATTTAACCTTGATTCTGAAGGCAGCCATATCTGGAATCTTCTGTTGGGTTTGAAGTGACCAAGAGCATATCCCGCACACACCTGGGAAACGGATGCTGCCCACCCCCGGGGCCGTTACAGGGTTTCAACCCTCGCACCCCGCACGACACCTAGGACTTGACTTTCGTTTTTGTCTTTCTAAAAATAGATCATGGAGCCAAGTGAAGTGCACTTTGTCAAACGTAAGGGTCTGCTTTGTTCCTTGTTATTTTTCTCCTTTTTAACCTTTTGTTCCACCTTTTTTTCTCTCTAATCGTGTTTCTTGTCAAATGCAGAAATGTTCCTTCCGCCACTCACCGAGGTTTCGAATTCTGGCTTCTGCAGTTTTTATTGTCTGTGTCAGACGTGCAGCCAGATGTGGTTCTGTCAGCATCTCCCCAGTCCTGTTCCATGCACATCGACCCCCGTTCTGTTCTCCCTCCCCCCCCACTCACCCTCACGCTCTCTGAGAAAAAGAATCACCTTGTGTGTCGTAGCTCATTTGTTTCGAGAGAATCAACAGATCATATTCAGTGTCTTGAATAAATTGCTCTATTTTGATATTAGAGAACTTTGTGGGCGTGCTTTCTTCATGTCACTCGGGAACTCGGGCCCACATCGACACTGATGAGTGAAGACCGGACTCTGCATTTTGTCAAAATAACTTGAAGGCCTCTTTCCGGGATTGCCCTGCTTAAGTAGGGCAAAGGGACCTGAACGCCATGATCTGGCAGGAGCAGCAGATTATAAAGGGTTATTCTATAAAGGGAGCGGGTTTTCTTGTGCTTCCTGTTCAGGACTCCATTTCAGGCTGTTTTACAAAGTCAAAGCAAATGAGTTTTGCCAGTGGGTGGGCTTGCTGGGAGTCTGGCTTCAAGGATTAGCGCTGAGTAATTAGAAGACCCTCAAGTCACAGGACATGGGTGAGGACATTGACGTGCAAGTTTATTGACATCTGCTCTGCGCCGAGCTCTGCCAGGTGTTTCCATTTATGCTGCTTGAATCAATTGGTGGGTGTTAGTAATTTAGTTAGTTCGTGGATATTGGTATCCCCATAGGCGGGGGAGGCAGTTGACGTGGAGAGGTGGAGAGGTGGGTTGCGTTTTGCTGTACAAGCGAGTCACGAAGCAGGTCTGGTGTCATTTTCCTCTAATGCCAACTTAGTCCCCCACTAGCACAAAGCACAGGGCCAGGGCCGACCCTCCCTCATGGGTCTCAGTGTTGACTGGGGTGAAGCCTGCTTATGTTTATTTTTCTTTTTTAACCGAGTTGCCCAAGCAACGTTCCCCCATGGTGGACCTGGGGTGAAGTCTGAGCACCCTGACCCCTGCTCCTGAAGCCACAGGCAGGCCCTGGGAAGACGCTTGTAGCAAACAGAGCGGGCAGGCAGCACCCTCAGGACAGAGCTCCCCGGGATAAGGGCACATGAGACTGTGTGGCTTCTTCACAGCAATGCTGGCAACATTAATAGCTTTAAACGGCTTTCTTTATACTGTAGAGGAGTCTGGGTTGAGACCACACAGATTATCCCAGATCTATGTACCGCTCATCTTCATTACACAGAGCCCTCTGCTGCAGTGATCCTAAAATTGTTTTCCTTGGTCCTTTGAGGCTCCACTTAATTTTATTTATTTTGAAAATCGAAGCTTCCACTCACTGAACAGATAACTTTTTTAACTGCCCACATCTTGGTGCTATTCCTAAAGGAAACATGAGAAGGTCTGTCGTATTCACAGCAAGTCTCCGCCCCTGCGGCTGCCAGCTGTTGGTCACTGCTGCCGGAGACCTGGAAGTCACTGAGTGCACGAGAAGAGGCAGGAAGTGGTGGGAAGCGGATTTCTGCGCTTACAAAACACTCAGAATTTGGCGGAACGATTTTTTTCCCCACCTGGCTCCTTTTTCTCTGAAGTGTCTCATCCACTGGTGAGGTCGCCAAGGCCAGAGGACGCAGTTCCACCTGGAGGGGGACGGGGAGAGGGCGCAGGGGACTGTAGGGAGGGGGCGGGGACAGTGTTATTGACAGTGTTACCTTCCACTAAACCTTGACGTTAGTGCTCTGGAGAACGGGGCTCTGATTCAGAAAACTGTCATCCAAGTTATAGAGAGAAGACGGCTGGGAGTAATCCGTTCTATCAGAAC